TATTTTGTGATATTGCTCTTGAACTTAATTTTATGGGTTAAGTGCGAAGATATTTAATAAATAAAGGTAATACACAAAATGTTAAAAAATAGACCCTTTGGACATAATTTATAATCTGAAACCTTACAGAATTTTTTTTTTTTTTTTTTTTTTTTTTTTTTTTTTTTTTTTTTTGTTTATTGCAAACAATTATTTTTTACAATGATATAAAAGTGTGGGAGCTTACAGAGCATTGCAACTACTTGTACCTCAAACTAATAACAAATGACTGTTCAATCTCCACAGCCACCAATTAAAAGTGCCTGGGACAAAAATCCAATTAATAGGCTATCAACTGATAAGCATCAACAACAAAACCTAATTAATAGGGTTGGTAAAGTGTTAATTGAAAGACTTTCAGGTAGCATTATGGTAATATTGTAAACTTTGAGGTGAATGCATAATACAGTGGTAGCCAATTAAAACTACAGTGGTTATCGTAAATTAAGGAAAAATCACAAAAATCACGATTACTAAAAACGTTATATGTAGAATTTTATGAAACTTACCCACAATATACAACACATAGTAAGGTATCAAATAACATAAAAATAAATTACTAGACAATTATGGTAGAATAGAAATTAGCACATGTATAAAATGAACAAATCAGTCAAAGGTGTCAGTTTGCTATGGGAAAAGTACCTTCAATATGGAATATGGTCGCCTCTAGAAGAAATACAGCATATACTGCGATGCGTGATGCTTTCAATTATGCGGTCTATCAGTTCTATAGGAAGCGAGAGCCATTGCTCTTGCAAAGCAGTTGCAAGCGCAGCAAGGGTCTTAGGGGACGGATTGAGAGCAGTTAGACGTCTCTCTAAAGCATCCCAAATGTACTCAATAGGATTCAAGTCCGGGGATCAAGCTGACCACTCCATGCGCATAATTGTTTCCTGTTGAAGATAATCATTTACGATGTGAGCCCTGTGTGGTCTTGTGTTATCGTCCTGTAAAAGGAAAGCATCACCTATTGCTCCGGCACATGGGCGCACGTAAGCATCAAGGATGTCATCTCTATAAACCGGAGCATTCATGATTTCTGTTGGAAAGACATGGAGGTCTGTGTGCCCACCCAAAAAGATGCCACCCCAAACACAGACACTGGCTCTTCCGTATGCATATTCTTTAACAGATGTTTGATGGATGATAACGGATTCCAGGTTCTCTCTATATCAAATAATGCCTACTATCGCTTTCTAAACTAAACCTAGACTCATCCATAAAGAGAACAGCCTTCCACTGATCAAGCGTCCAGTAGACATGTTGTCGTGCCTACTGCAAATGATCCTTCCTATGGTGTGACATGAGTGGCACGCAAATGGCTGGTCGCCTCGCATACAGACCACCTTCCTGAAGCCTTCTGCGCACAGTTGACGTTGACACCAACTTTATTCTATTCCTGCGTGCACATAAAGTCAAATATCGGTCATTGGCGCTTGTCGTAGCAGTTGGCCATACTTGGCTGAACCTAATAGATGCCGAATCTGTGGTTTGAAATCACCTCCAAAGTCTATGAAATACAGAAAAACTCGCATTTAGCCATCTAGCCACTTCTGTTTGACTTTATCCTGCCTCTAGTCTCCCAATGGCTCTCCATCGTAGTCTGCAGGCAAATGATGCCTTGTTACAAATTGGCTATCTCAGATTTCTGATGTTACTGTCACAGTGAAATATGTGAGCTTGCTCTCAAACATGGACTTTTATTCTCCTCGCAGATGACGTATTCTGAGTGCAGCTCCACAATTTGCATATTGCAGTTTTATTCAGCTACTCTTACTTGGCAACATATTCAAATTTTACACGGTTTGGCTTATTTTTGAGGGAGTTATTGCTATTTTTGTGATTTTTCCTTAATTTATGATAACCAGTGTAGTTGGGAGCCACCAAATTAAATTGTTTCCCTTAGAGCAGATTTATAAAGAACTAATAATTTAAAAAAAATTAGTAATAAAATGTAGATGTTATTAGTTGATTATAATCTTAGTCAGACATCATCCATTAAATCTTTATTAATAATTCTTAAAAATATAATTTATTTTTTAGCGGTTTGAAGACTTTAGTGTCACATTAAATTAATGTTAAATCAATAAATTATTTATTTCATGTGAACAGTAAAAGTCTGTGAAATCATTAAATTTTTTCGAAATTGCTTAACAGTTATATAGAATTTTATTAATTTTATTCTTAAAACTGTATATATCATAGGCAAGAATTTTTTAGTATTTTTTGTCATTATATCTGTAATAAAAGCCGATTCCAATATATTATGAAATTCGGAGAATACAGTACAACCTTGGTAAATTGATTAACCACAGCTGCAAATAGCTTTAATCATTTGTGGAGGTGGTTGGTGTAAAGAATATAACAGTTGGGGGTCCTAGTACCAGTATTTAATGTTCTGAGAAATACTGGTCACTTTCTGAGGTATCAACCGAGAAATGTTTTACCGTGTTTGATAATGGCAAGAAGTTATGCATTGATTAGTGTTTTTATGAATTTTGATTTGATAATCTTCATAATAAAAAAATTGCCTAATGAATCTAAGTACTACTGAGCATGGATCATTATTTAAATGCTCAGTTTTACAGAAAGTGATCTTTCTGTGGGAGTAATTTACACGAACTAGGACTGATATTTTAGTGTTTTTATCTGTATCTCATTAAAGTTCATGCAACTCAGACAGCGTTTCTGACTGATGCTTCATTTTGTATTTGAATAAACAATTAAAGAAAACTGCATCTATAGATGAAATATTTCAAAATTTAGAATAATTGATAACTAAATTTTAAAATCAGATCTTCAAACTTAACGCTGTTATAAATCAAATTATAAGATTAATTGAATGAAACAAGGGTAATACATGAGCCATGGTAAATACATTGGTAGCTGGATATGTCCACAGTTGCCATCTAACTGTTACTGATTTAATCCATTGTTCTGTTATTCACACAGTTTTCATCTCTTATTTATATATAATTTATATTACAACTAAATTTAAGTTGTGCTGTCCTGAGAAGTATGTTTCTCAGCAGAGATTTTTTACCAAACCACTAGACATGGGTTTGAATCTTAATAAGCCATAAGTATTGTCTTTGTAAAATGTTGAGTGCTTAAAGTAGGCTGATTCAGAAATTTTCTGGAGATGTTGATAGCAGGGAAAGAATAGTGCAAAAGCTCCTATTTTGTTCCAAGATTGCTCTTGATTATAAAATCAGAATGGAGCTTAAAGCAGATAGCCCCCTTTGCTTTAACATAAACCAACAATCCAATCAGATTTAAGTTGTAATTGAACATTATAACATTTTGTCTAGCTAATACTTTTTTTTTTTAAATATTTACTATACAGAAACTTTGTTTTACTTTATAACTCAAGGAATATTAAAAGAAGTGCAGAAGATTTGTCCACTTTGATTGTATATTATATGCCCAGTGGCCATCGATTAAAACTGCCAGATCACTGAATTAAATTCCTGGCCACAAATAAGTTAGTTGTACGTACAATCAAGTCTTGATTTACCAGGGATCGTTAACTGAATTGCAAATTAAATAGACCTTGCCTGAAAAAATTAATTTTCTTTATTGTGGAATGATAAAAATAATAAACAAATTATGAGTGTAAAATAAAAGCGACTGGAAAGTAAAAAAAAAAAAACAGTGCATAGTATAATAACAATGATAACAAATGTTTTCACTGTACTTGGATATTGTTCTTCCCCCCCCCAACACTACAGGATTTAATCATATGTAATCCAGAATATCTGTTGTTAAATTTCTGCTAAAAACAAAAAGTTCTGGCAAATTAATCTCAGTGACATTGTTCAAGTTCTCTTCCAAGTATTGTTCTTTAATTATAACCATTTAAAACTTAATTTTTTTTATTTATAAGAATATTTATTTTTCTGTTATTTACACTGTGTCCTTTTAGTTTGAATGCTGATTTAATTAACTTGATCAAATGAACTTATTCTACAGATTAAACTGCCTCAAAGTACTAGTATTATATTGTTTTTCTATTAATTATATTAAATATTCTTTTTTCATGTGCTTTTTTTTAATTGCCCTCTTATTAGCAGTGATTTTGAATTAACCATGGATACTGTTCCTGGCATGACCTTGGTAAATTGAGAATATACAGTCTGTGTATATGCATTTGTGTTATTCTGGGAAGATTTCAAATTCTTAGCATTGATAAAATCAGTTTCATTTAAAAAATATGCCTCAAAGTATGTAAGTTATTTTCTAAGCTTTGCCCTAATTTGGGTATACCTTGTGGATCATATTAACCATACTTAAACCATATACTGATGATTTAGGGGGAAAATGACCACTTTTGTTGAAAATGAGTTAATTTAATTTAATTTAAAGTTTTAAAATTACTAGGGTTAAATTATATAACAAAGTAGAATTATTTGAGTAATGAACCTTTTTGAAGTGGAGAAAAAGAAGGAAGTTTTAAATAATAAACAAAAAATACTTATCATCCTACCCTAAAAAGCAATTCTGAGTATTGTTCAATTGCTGCAAAGTGTCACTGCAACTATGATATGCTGTGGGCAGAGAATGTTTTAGAGCTTTCAGATAATTGTATTTTGTTGTAGATAATCATGCAAGAGCAGAACAAATTTTCTACAATATCCCAACCTTTTCGAAGTTGTGTACTTTGAGTTTTTACAAATACAAACTGTATGCATTCAAATTCAAATAATATATAAAATTATTGTGTCAGTGCATAACTTGCATATCTTTAAACTAAAGGAATTTGAATTGTATGCTAAAAATTAAAGTTGCTTATTGTCTTAATCAGTTTTAGTATGTAAATAGGTAAGCACAACCTCAAATTTTTATTTATGAAAATTCTAGTTCCTCCTAAAATATTTGTTAATCTAGTATAGTTCAGCATGAGAAAATTTTAAGCATTTTTAAACATTATGTAATCAAAATTATTTTTTTTTTTCCAGTTTGGTTTTCCAGTTATTACTATTAGGCAGGTTTCTGGTTAAGAATGTAAGTTTTTTTTTTTTTTTTTTTTCTCAATTTAAACTCATCAGATAATGTTTGTAAATAATATGATGTTATAATATGCAGTTGAACCTTGCTATAACAAACTCCCCCAGATATGATGAATGAACCTTATGGTATACTTACTGTTATTACTTCCTTGTATGAAGTAAAGGAAGTATTGCAATCTCGAAAAATTTCAGGTATCATATTTCAAAGAAAATATCCATTTTGACCCTTCTCAAATCCATTTTAACGATGTTTTTGCATGAAATTTGTATGTACGGACAGAACAGCCTCTTTTTTTCCAAAATATGTTGTAAAATGGATTCAGAAGATATTTTTCCGTGACATCTACATATGTAGTATGATATCATTATCTGTATCTGTATCTGACATAACTCAAAAACGAGTAGCCTTTGATATCTTGTGTATGGGACTGCTGATATGTAGTTAAGTTATGCACCTCTCTTTTTATTTGCAATTGACTGTACCAAACATGTGTACATATGTAATAATAAAGGGCTTTGCAATATTGATGGTGTAGAACATAGTAGGTGGAATCTGTAATGTAGAACAAGAATTCTGATTGCATAAAATTCTTATCCATAATGAATAGGAAACTGGCAGCCAAAGCAGATTAAATCTTCATTTTATTTTCAGTAAATATGTTACAGCCACAAACAACTTGGCACATTATTTGTGCCTGTTTCAAAATGTTTATATTTTTGATAACTTTGCATTAAGAAGGAAGAAGCAGACTGCAGTCCAGCTAGGCCAAAAATTAGCAAACAAGTGCATTCTATTTACAATGAAATCTTAATTCAAACTGAGTTAGTTTTGTTTCTCAATGCATTTTGATTGGATAATTAATACTGCAGTAAAATTATTATAGGCTGTTCAAGTTCCATTTACATCATCAGAATTACGTAACAGTTGTATGACATGAATTAGTCTTGAAATGACACAGTGCAAAGAGAGGTTACTGTTTTTAAAATAGGGAAGGAGAATTTATTTGTGCTGCTAATTTAAATTATAATTTATCTTTTATATATTCTTTATTCATATATAGTATATATACACCTGCTGTGTTACCTGGCTTGGTGAGCTCAGTTTTTTACTCTTATATGTTGGTAAATTGTGCATTTTTTGCTCTAAATGTGATTGAATTATATTGTTCTTATGTTCTGGTTAAGGATTTTGTGACTTTAGTTAATCTGCATGCAGTAGTTATAGAATTATCAACAATTTAAAAGGGGTACTAAGCCTAACAAGGCTGCTTTTGTATACATTTGAAACTTATTAGTTTGTCAGTTTGTGAACCAGCTTCAGTGTCTTTTTGCTGAGTGGGACCGAAAGTAAATTTTCAATTTTGTACACCGAAAATTATGTCTTCCTGCCCGCTGGTCAGATTACTTGTTTTTGCCTAAAAACTCTAATTTTAATTTTAAAAAATTTTTAAACTGTTTTTAACTGTATTTAGTATTTTATGTTTTTCTATATTTTACAATTTTTAATGAAGGTGCTTTGAGTTTTTATGTATTTTTACTTAGCTGTGAAGTGAAAACTGAATTAATTGAATGAGAAATAGATCTGAAATGAAATTCAAGAAAATAAGTTTAAATGAAATGCAGCAAAAAATGTGTATAATTTAAGTCATGTGGGCCCTACTGGTGTAGTGAGAAATATGATACAAAATTTAGATGTAACAAACTGTATGAATATTTTCAACTGAAACGTTTTTTGTATTTTTCATGTTTTTTCCAGAATTTGTGCATGTTTTACTTAGCAAAATTACTAAACTTTAAATTCATCCATGTTTAAAATATAAGGGTCCACATTCCATCCCTAGAGGAAAACACCTTTACATTATTTTTTTTTTTCACCTCCGCTATTCTCTGTGTTATAAATGAAGGCTATGCAAAACAGGTGTGAAATCCAACTCTAAAAGAACAAGGCTACAATATATATGTATATTAAATACAGTTTACGTGACCATTGAACCCAAAAATTTGAATGGGATCTCCATTCATATTTTTTAAATTGGGCTGCCAGACAGAACTCTCCTCAAAGCTTATGCTATAATGGAAGCAGGGAAAGAGGAAGAGGAAAGAGGAAGTAGTGAATCTTACAAGCTTGTGGTTTTGCAGCTGTTTCTTTGTTTGGTGAAAAAAAAAAATATTCTGATTGGTTTGTTTTATTTGAGTATACATACGCTTCAAGTTCTATCATTCGAATAAGAATTTGTGTAGAGCTTTTGCAAAACATAGGATATTCTTTATAAAACTTATTGAAGCTTTTGGTTGCAATAAGACATGTAGATGAGGAAATTATTTTGCATTTCTATTTTTTTTCCCAGAAGAGCAAAAATTTTACAAACTAATCAATTTGCATCTCAAGCATTTTATGTAAAAAATTCATGTGCATGGAAAGTTATAAATATAAAGCTTTGGCACTGAAGATAAGGTGAACATTATCTGAAAAATATAAAATGGATGCAACCAAATTGGTATCTGCCAGAAATATGGTTTATCCAAAACTATAATTGGTATCATCTGAAAGAACTGAAAATCTATAATTCTCTGCTCATGAAAAGAATTGGATGTAAGGAAAAAATTGAAAAGGTGCATAAGAATGTCGAAGAAGCGTTGCCGAAATGATTCACTATTCAAAGAAGTCATAATCTGATAAATATCAGGACAAATGCCTCAGACAAAGGCCATTGATTTTGCCAGACAATTTGAAGAGACTGAAAAAGATTGAACAACCAATTTAATAACTCTAATTTAATTTTAACATGACCTTTTAAATTTAGGTAGATTATTTATTTCACGTGGTAAATGTGACAGTGTTAATAATTTTTTTTTCCTGTATTCATTGTTTGGTATTTACATGATTTTAGGAGATTATAGAGTCATGAGGATTTTTTTTTATGCTGGAGAAGTGGAAAATGTTCAATGCCGTCAATGGAATTCGAACTTGGACCTCTCGAAAATACTCTGAGTGTGCTAACCATTACACCACGAGGGCATGCAGAATGGAGGGAGAAAATAATCCATTTTTCTTATCAGATTGGATATAGCGTATCAAACTTCCAGTTCAATTAAGCTCATTTTAGCGGGTTCGACTGTAGTTTTATTGAGATACGAGTTTATTCTAATAAAAAAATTTTTTTCTTTAAATTTTATAAATACTTTAGGTTTTTCCTTCGAAAAATTGTTTTAATGTATGATTTTACTTTTTTAAATTAATATTATTGTACATGTTATTTTATTAATACTTCTGTATATATTTATGTCAAGTTCATTTTAGCATTTTAAAGACTTTTTGTGATCAAGTAAATTCAATGCGTTATGTATTATATCAGTGAATATTATTTGCCATTTATAACATTTAGACTACTAGAAATATGCTGATGTATATTTAAATTATCATAACACAGCAGTGAAATTTGTATAAATATAATAAATAATATGTATTATATACCCTGATAAAAAAATAAAAGTTAATTGTTGAGAGTTTGTGCCATCTCTCTTGGTCAGTCATTTTTGTGCAAGATCAAAATTTCAAGTATTTTGGCATAAGCAATATTCATGTCATCTGTTGAGTAAAAGAAAGAAAGGAAGACAAAGTCAAGAAATATCTTGTTTTTACAAATAAATTTTAGAAATTTGTACATTATTTTTTAATTCTTTCCTACCTATATTTTAATACTGTAATATCATTGACTTTTATATTCTTTTATATTACATATTTAGGGGTATATGGTAAAGATCAAAGTTTAAATTTTATTTAAAAATGAATGTAGTTGTTCAACTTTTTTGTGTTTGGTTTCATTTTGTATGTATTTAATATTTTTATTTTATGATAGGATGGTAGAGCTCAGAATATCGAAATAGCAATCAACAAAGCTCTGGATATTAAATTGGAGCCAAAAGTAAGTATAATATTTTATTTCAGATATAATAAATGTGAGTTTACATCAAGAAGTTTTAGTATTACCAGGAATTTTTTCAAAATAATGATGATAATAGATACACTGAAAGGTAAAGTTTTTTTTTCTTTCTGTGTTTACTCAAAAATAAGACTGTCTGGAATATATGATTCTGCTTAATTTCTAAGATAAATTTTAAAAATAAAAATATAGGTGAATGTTTTCTTTCTTTTTTTTCAATAACTTTGAAAGAGAAAATATAATGCACACCAGTGCTCATCTATAATTTCAAGCTACATTTTTCAATTTTTAAGTATATTGGCCATATAATATGTACCCAATTCTTTATGAAGAAACCTAAAAGATATGTGCACAGTGCACTTTCTTTTTGAGGTCACTTATTTGAAGATTTCCAGCAATGGTATATCGAATTGACAAGTGATAAATGAAGCAATATGTATGTGGGTTAAATGCTTGAGGGAGTAAATATTCCTGTAAAAAGGGTGGATTTTATTCAATGCTGGTGTCCAAAAGAATGCTATTGTAGGGTTTCCAGAAAAGGGGAATATAATTTGGAGTAAGAATGCACTTTCAACTTGAATGAGTTTGTGGAATTTGGAGTTAGATGTTTTCTCTTTCTGTAGAAACATCTGCACAATGGTTTCTCTTTCTGTTTTCTATTTCTGTTCTCTTTCTCTTAGCAGATGGTTGAAGCCATGATTTTGAAGTGAAAATTGAAGGCCACATTTGCTTTAGTTGAAATACAGTTTATCTAGAATTCCATTTAATAGTAAATATGGCTACTACAAAAAGAAACAAACACACTGTTGGTTAATTGTGCTGCAGCTTGGATATTTGGTATTGTATATGCTATATATGTGAGTGAAAGAAAAATGAAATTGTAGTAATTAATATGCCAGAGAATAAATGTGCTTTTCGGAAAGGAGTAATAGAATGGCCTAGAAGAAAGTATTGTGAACTGGGTCCTAGAAAAGCACCAAATTAATTGTATGGTACCATGGATTAATTGTAACAAGAAACAGTATATGTTTATTTGCCTTAGAGGGCCAAAAAGAATTCAAATGAAAGTGAACACTTTAAAGCAACTTTGAGTTGGTATATAGATTTATGGCATGGACTACGATAAAAAACAAAAGTTTTGCAAAGGCTTCCAAAAGATTTGGATAATGAATTGATTAGTTTCCAGACATATGTTATTGACCTACAAAGGAAAAAAAAAAAAAAAAGTATTTATGCTCACATATTAGAAATATGGATGAAACTACAGTAATGTTTGATATGATGGGCAATAAAGCAATTGATGTGAAAGGAACAAAAATGGTTTACGTAAAAAAACAGGTCACAAAAGATCTCACTTCACCATAGTATTTTCCTGCTGAGCAGATCATTCAAAATTAATACCCATGGTTATTTTTAAAAGAATAACAGTACCAAAAGTAATTTCCCAAATTATGTTTTATTCATGTTCACAAGAAAGGATGAATGGACAAAAAACAATGTGAAATTGTGAATATGAAATGTTTGGCAAAAACATCCTTTTGCTTTAAAGAATGTAGAAAGTCTTTTAGTATGGATAATGTTGAGATCTCATCTAACAGATAATATGAAGAAATTATTGAAAGAGTGTAATACAGTTGTTCCAGGCGGATTAATGTCATTAGCTGCCTTTAGATGTTCCATTGTAATAAAATTCTTGGAAAATTTAATATCTTGTCTTTAATCCTTTTTTTTCAATTATTTTTCTTTTTACTTCCTTGTATGAAGTAAAAGAAGTATTGTAATCGCGAAAAATTTTGGGTATCATATTTCAATGAAAATATCCCTTTTAATTGCTTTCAAATCCATTTAAAGTATGTTTTAAATGTATGGACAGAATAAAGGACTCATTTTCGTAAAACGCATTGTAAAAGTGAATTAAGTCAGTTTGTGCACCAACTTCAGTATTTTTTGACAAGTGGGGACAAAACGTACACTTTCAGTTCTGTGCACCGAAATATCTGTCTTCCTGCCTGCTGCCCTAATTGCTTGTTTTTGCTTAGAAATTCTAATTTTAATTGAAAAAAAATATTTAACTGTTTAACTGTATTTGGTGTTTTATGTTTTTCTGTATTTTATAATTTTTAATGAAGATGTTTTGAGTTTTTATGTATTTTTGCCTTGCCATGAACTGAGAACTGAACTAATTGAATGAGAAATATATTTCTAATAAAATAAATGAAATGCAACAAAAAATGTGTTTAATTTAATAGGTCATACAAAGAAGTCGTGGCTTTCGCATAAGAGTTTTAGTTATAAGTAATATCGTTTACAGAATTATTGCTTTTGTATTAATCTATTTGAACAATCTTATAGTTTTAAACTTGCTTAAAATTCTAAAACATTTCACTTCTATATCTTATATTTAAAATATGTTGGAATGCATATTGTCTTAAATCCTGTATCAGCATTTGCTATTTTATATTTTGTCTGTAGGATGTTATAATGGAGATAACTGAAAGAGATCTGAAAGTCATTGAAAAGAAAGACAATAATGTAAGAACTGTTAATTTTTTAAGCTTTATTTATATAAATTCATATTTTTATTGGAAAACTACATATTAAGTAATTTAACATTTGCTCGATATCATTTGTTTTCAAAATTCATATCCATGATGGCCAAAATATTGTGTTATTATAGTGGAATAATTCATTTAAAAATTTCAGTTTCTTACCAAGTAAAATATTTTATAACTAATTTAATAAGTGAGCTTTAATTTGTTCATTTATAGTCTGCTACTGCTTCTTAACACAGTTAATATCTTCTTCTTTTTCTTAACACGGAAGATACTAGCTATTTATCTTTTCAAATGAAATTTTGAGAAATTTTTTTAACACTTTGAGTTGTGGTAGTCTTGGCATAAATTATCAATTATGGTTCTGTCAAATAACTTAAGAAGTCCTATGATTGCATTTCTGTGATTATATTCATCATTATGAGAACTTAATCAAAGTAAAAGGAAACAATTCATTTCAAGTTTTTAGAAAGATCTTCACGAAGAATATGATTTTTCTAAAAAAAACTGCTTTTCCAGACAAAATTTCTTATGGAAAGTAGCTTGTGCAATAAAGATTCAAAAGTCATCTATTCATTTTGTTTAGTATTTGTACACAACTCGTACATAATGGATTATAATTTTACTCAACTTTTTTAAAATTTTATTTTCATAAACTTTATACCATAACCATTTGCAGCCATGAGTTCTATCAATATTTTCAAAAATATATAATCTCACCAGGCAGCCAATCCTATATTGAAAAGCATAGCGTGCAAGTATCATGATGTGTCTGCAAAAGCAACAGTATCTGTAAATTTTGTCTAACTCAAGGTATGGGTTTTATATAATTGGTCAGTAAAGAATATGCTTGTGATCCCTTGGAACAAAATGAAACAATGACTAAAACCTTGCTTTGCGTTTTTTGTTTTAATATAGAACAGTGTCTGGGATGAATAGTGTTTTTAAGGGTAATACTTTTTTGTTCTGGTATAGTCTGCACTTCATATTTAAACACTGTATTTCTTCCTTATTTAATGGCATGATTATTATTGTTTATCTATGTTACTGCTGGTAATTTTTTTTTTTTTTTTAATCAGGAACAATAATGCTTACTCTTATAGAGAGCAAAAAGACATTTCAATTGTAAAATGTTATTTTCTCTAAAAGATGTAAGTTTTTAATACATGCATCACTTAGTAATTAATAACATTAATTTATGTTTATTTTTGTCTCTGTTTTATGTAGGCTTTTTTAATTCAGATGTTTTTATTAAGTACTTAATTATTGTATATATTTTATGTATAGATTCCTTCACCACTATTCTATATATATTTTATGTACTTTTTTCAGTTGTATATTATTGAAAAAAGATTAATTGGTAAAACTGTATACAGTGCAAGCAAGATTTTGTATTGAATAAAAAGTCCTTTTTAAAATTTTCATTATTTTCAGGTATTTTGTTGTTGATTTTCTTATAGCTATTGTTATAATTGTTTATTATGACTATTTATCTTATTTGCTATAGAATAGCTGATGATTTTTTAAATTTATAATTTCTTTTAACTCATTTCATTTTTTAAAAGGTTATGCTGCACAAACATTTTTCTGAAATATCTGCCTGTGGAAGAAAAAAGATCTGTCCTGAAATTTTTGCATTTATTTTTGGGTAAGTTGATAAATATCTTCTTCTTTTGTAAGTATTTAGATTGTAAAGCAAAAACTTTTATGACAAATTCATAGACTCTAACATCTATGAATTCTCCATAGCTTATATAGAAATTCATAAAAAAACTATGATTCAAAAAAATTATGGATTTTATTGAAAGGAGGGGAGGAAGAGATATGGTATGTAAAATAGAACCAATTTATTCCTTCGATGATTGGCAAAATGCTCATGACATGTTCAAAAAATGTTAAATTGATGGTCTTGCTGATTTTGAAGAGTGTTCAATTGTAGTTCAGCTAATTCTGGCCCATATCTTTCAATCAAGCACTTTATAGTGAAGGGTTTGTTTACCTTGCAGGTCCCGTTGATTTATATTATGGTAAGAAAAATTTGTACATGGTACTTGTGAGTTCTGATTAAACAGAAAGTTTTTCAAGTTTGTTAATCATGTTGCCTTATAATATATTATCAAATTTCTAAAATTATCAAACTAATACTCATATTCTACAGAATTTCAAATAAAATTTGAATAAATATTTGATAATTTAGCTTAATCATTCTATGCTCGTTTACAATGAAAGATTGCTATAACTATTGTATATGATGTAACGTAAAATTTTATAGAATGAAAAAACACTGGAAGCCATTCCTCCAAACAAAGTATTGTACACAGTTTGACTTGTTCATGTATATTGGCATTCATGACAGAACTGTCTTGATAAGAAAATGCAGAGGATTCCTGCGCTGCTGTATTTCACAATGTTATCACTCTTCTCATTTGGCACACATTTTGCTTTTTAATTTCTTTGTTTTTTAAAAGAGCTGCTATAAATCTTAAGTATAGAATCGATAGACTTGTAAAAACAATTATATTTTATTTAGTGATGACCCAATATTTTAAAAACCATTGAAATCGAAACAAAACAAGCATCAAAGATTAAAGTGCATGGCATGGAGGATTTTTCACCTTCTTTAAGTTAAAACTTACATGATGGTGGGTATATATATATATATATATATATATGTTGAATGATCTAAAATTCACTTAGTTCGAAAACAAGTTTTTCTAATACTTGCGCAAAGCTGCAAAGTAAAGTAATAATAATTTGTTTACTAAAGAAATATTGATTATATTATCTCTTAATATAAATTTATTAGAAGTATCAGAAAAGAGGGAACCCATATGTAGGAAGTTTAATTTCAAAAATTGTGTTTTAAAGTAACTTGAATGTAATTTATGAAAAAAAAAAAAGTTTTATGGGGACTTTAATTTAAATCATGAATAACAAAATTTCAAACTTTGAAAAGGAAATTAAAAATTAAAAACAAGTAATTATGCTATTGATCGGAAATTAGTTGACTTTTCAAGCGGAATACACGTATACAAGGTAGACCTAATGTGTGTTTGTATATATATATGTGTGTGTGTTTACTTTAAATATATAAGGATATTTATATATATGTGTAGACAAATATGTAAGTATATTGATATATATATGTGTGTATATACTATAAATTTATAAGTATATTTATTATAAGCAAAGTTGTAAGAACAATACAAAAAAGACCAATTTTGGTCAAAATGTTTTGCACAATGTGCTGCAAAATTAAGGAAATGTGAAGAGAAATTGTAGTTAGCTTTTATATATATATAACCTTAATCACTCATGGAAATTTAGTATCGAAACATATATATGTATGTATATTTATATATATATGTGTGTGTATAGATAAATATGTAAGTATATTTATATATATGTGTAACTTGTTTTTGCACTAAATGAATTTAAGATCATACAACATGTGTATATAGATAAATATATATATATGTGTAATGAAAGCACAATTTTGGAAGCATTGATGTAGATGCATAGAAATGCTAATTAGAGTAGATACTTGATGCTTAGAGCATCCATCCATTTTAAAGAAGAAGCAATCGAGCTGGATTAAATTCCATATTTATTTAAATTCACATTTGTGGCCACAATTCACTTGGCACTCCAGTCATGCCTATTTCCAGAACATTTACAACTTTGATACTATGGTGATAGAAGCGATCATAGATGATTCCAGCAGCGTCTTAACAGCGTAAGCCGAAAAGCGTCTTAAAGCGTAAGCCGAAAGAGAGGGAGTGTCACAGTAGTAATGCAGAGGAAGAAGGAAGGGAGTCAAAAGGTTTTGATTTACAATTACTTTGATTGGGCAAGCGATATCTGCATTATGGGTTAGGTAAGATGGCATGATTAATTTGAATGACACAGTTTAGACTTGTGGCGCTATTTTTAAGACAGAAAGAGGAAATCCCCAAATTAAATAAAAAATAAAACAGGCTATAACTAATTAAAATTAGAAGTTTGCTTTTAATTTTTTATCTTACACATCCCCCCTTTCAAAGAGGAAAAGGCGGAGTGATAGAGAAGCCTTTTTGACAGAAAAAGCATTAGAGCAGCAAAATATGAGAAATAAAATTTTGAAAATACAAGGCATAAAATTAACTTTTCAACAATTAAAGAATTATATGTCATAAAATTTTGAATTTAGTAATAATTTTAAACACTATTCTTTTAAAATAATTGCACATTTTTAAAGTCCTATTAAAATTCGAGTCCAATCTGTAAAAAGTTCATGTTTCTGGAACATTCGCATCACAATTTTGATACTTCAGGGAAGGATTTCCAAAACGTTTTACACACAATATCACAATTATAAAAATTTTATATACCCATTAATTATAACGAATAATCATAAATCTTAAAATTTTACACCACACTAATTTTCACATTTATAAGTAATATTTTATCATTTGTAATAGCATGGTTGAAATTATGGTTTTCACTTTTAGTATTACATTTTACAATTTTCTTATTTTACGCAAACTGGAAGACCACACAGCTTTTTTTTTAGCACACACATATCCAGCTATTTGGGCATTATCACTTTAGCAAATCCATATACTAAATTTCCGTGAGTGATTAAGGGTTGCTTTGGCAGTTGCTTAGAAAGGCCTCTGTTCCTTGTTTAAAGGCAACTGACCTTTTGAACTGCGCTATACATTCCATTATATTAAAAAAAAAAACACTCCATTATATGAAAAAAATAAAAATCCTATATAAAAATTAAATAAAGTGGGAGCCTTCAACGCTATTATTATATAGAGAGGGTAAAAGGAACAATTATGCAGAGGTAAAACAGGGCTCTGTTTCTGAACCTGTACTCTCTCAACCTACTTTGTGTTTAACATACAATTACTGATAGTTATAACATTCATTTACCATAATTCCAAACAAATTTTAATACATTTTACTTTTAACAAATTCTCATATAAATTTTATTACGATTATTCAGTTTCTTAGATCTTTTGGTATTTCTATATTAATTTTGACAATATTTAATATTCTCCCATTTAATAATTATTTCATATTGACATCATTCTCAAAATAATTAGAAGGATCTTAAAATTCAAATTTTTAAACAATAATCTTATTTACAAAATAATTCCAGAATTCTTATCTCGTTAACAAAATAATTCCAAAGTTTTTGACATTAATTCAAAATTTTTATCAAACTTACTAATAACAATAAAATTTTATAATCTTCCCTGAATAAAATCTTAGAATGCTTACACATTTTAATTTGAATATTTTCATAAAGTAGTGCTACATTATATTTTCAGATTTAAAAATATAACCAATTATTGAGTAATTTATTTATAATGATGCAGCAGGAGAGAAATTAAAAAAAAAAATTTTTTTAAACATGATTAAAACACTTTTTTTCCAATATCGTAACTTGATTTCCTCGAAGCAACTTTGAACATTTAATCTGGAACCGAAGAAATAAATCACATATCAATAGCACTTTTGATAATGCATTAAATCATTTTCATACTTGTTGAAAATTATACTGCCTATATGCTGTTGAAAGAAATTTTCGCGCAGCATGCTTTGATGTTACAGTGACTTTGGCCTAATTCGGAATTCAAGTAGTCATGAACACTTTCTTTTTAATTTTATCCTTTAGTTAAACAATGATAGATTAATTGAATAAATTCTGCCTTGGGAGTTTCACACACTTTTTCTGAAGAAGACTGTGGTTTGATGTGGTTTGACACAAGTTCTATGTGTGCAGTTCGGGTTGCCACAGAGATGAATAAAACAATATAGGTTTTTGAGTGTCTTCAAAATTCTTTACATAGATTGGTCTGCTGAAATAAATTCTACTGATTGCAGATGGAGGTGGTTCTTGGATTCTGTCTTTAGGTAAGGCTACCATAGTTTTCTGACTTGATTAAATATTTCTGGCAAATCAAGTAACTTTTTTATGTCTTTTTGATCAATTGGCTCCTTTAGGAGGCCAGAAACGAGATTTAACTTTGGCTAAAATCACAGTAGTTCCTTTATGCATTATTTTCTCTTGCTCTTTGAATGCAATTAACATTAGCAGTCTGGAATTTTCGAGTAGGATAACTTGCTGTTTATTATCTAGTGATATATCAGAAAATTCCAATATTCCTCATAATCTCATCATTCCCTTTTCTTCAATGTATGGGAAAAAATTGCTGAAAGGGGAATTTTTTTCAGTCTAATTAGTTTCTTTTAGAGATTTGTATTCTTCAAAAAACTTCTTTTTTTTGCTCGGATCTTATCCAGAAAATTTTCTGCTTCTTGTAACTTTTCCATTAATAGAGCTTCTTCAATACTGCTAGATTTTCTTAAGTCTCTGAGCATTTTGGGTTTGGCTGTGAAATTTCAAAGTTTCCAAAAATGTCATGGCTAGGCAGTATTTTCTGGATTATAATATCTTTTCACTTTGCACATGGACTCATTTTCATTCGTCACACAAAATCATATTTAACAGAATCTGCAGAAATTTTCATGTGTATCAAATGAGAAAGCCATCCTTTGATACGGAATTTTACGACCATACTCCATAGAGGGGTAATTTTGCAATGAAATATGCTATCCAAGCAATGAACTTTAAAATTTTCTCTAAATTGCGGTATTTCATTATGTGGAAGAGATCAATCTGTACTTTTGACTGTACATTCAAGTTGATGTATATGATGTGACTTTTTTTTTTTTTTTCGGTATTCCATTTTGTATTGTTTTAAACATCTAATTTTGGCCAAAGGTCGGAAGAGAATTGAAGCCATTGTGGACTTTGCAACCAAATGGGTTCGTTTATTAACTTAGAGATGTTTATTCTCTGAGACACAAGATCTGCAAGGTTGTCAACACTTGGACAGTAATGCCAGTATTGAGATAAGCTCAATTTTGGGTTTTTTTTGACACAAATCTTAATAGCTTTTGAAACTTTTGAAGATCAAGCTATTTTGGGATTCAAAAATAAATAATTGTTGAATCTTCTAAAAAAAGCACAGGATTTTTATTCTTTGAAAATATTGTTGCCTAACATGGCTAATAACAGTGCCCCCATTAATTCTAATCATAGTAGAGTAAGAGATGTGCTTTTATACTTGTGTCTGAGAAGCAATGTTATTTGTTATTTTCAGTATTAATGTTCAAAACATGAAAAAGTAACTATAGATGGGGAATTCAGCTATTTAATTTAGCTTTTCGTAAAATTTTCTCTGCTGAGAGGACAAATCTTCAGGCAGTGGTTCATCTCGGTGTATCTGTGTTGATAAAATTTTCTGTATTAAGCACTTTAGTGTTAACAGTAAAAGACCCCAAAATACCACTTGGATCGAATATCCAACTTAATCCTTGTAGGAGAAATCTTTTTGTTTCTATTAGTTTAGATATGAAGGACAATAGGTTTTGAATGTCAAAATAGAACACATCTTTTGAATTATTTGCAGTGACAGTTTGTTTATATTTTGATGCCAATTCTAAATTTTTAATAATTTGCATTACAAAAGCAATAAAATGTGCTTGTTTTTTAATTCAGCAATTTCTATTTCATTTTATTAAATTATTAAAGAAGACTTACCGTTTTGCTGTTTTCTTACAAAGGGCTAATCCAAAAGTCAAAAACACAAATTTTCAAATATTAATTGGGTTCTTGTCAGTCAATGCACTTTTGTAGGAAAATAGATGGAAATCAAAGCAAAATGAGAATCAAAGAATGAAGTGCATGGCTTGGAAAATTTTTCATCTTCTTTTAATTAAAACTTAAATGATTATACGAGACGTATTCGGAAACTAAGTACCGTTTTGGAAAAAAAAAAAAATAAATAAAACAATTTTTTTGAATCCAATTTTATTTTTACATGAAAATACATGTTTTAAAGTATTTTTCAATATAGTTTCCACCAGTGATCAAACACTTGTCATAGCGGGTGACCAGTTTTTGTATACCATCGTCAAAGAAACTTCCCGCCAGTTTCGATAACCACGACTCCACAGCATTTTTCGTGTCATCGTCAGATCCAAAGCGCTTGCCACCAAGCTCGCGCTTCATGTGCAGGAACAAGCGATAGTCGGACGGCGCCAAGTCTGGGCTGTACGGCGGGTGATCGAACTGCTCCCAATGAAACTGTCAAATTAACGATTGAGTGACACCAGCAGTATGGAACCGAGCATTGTCATGGAGCAACACAATTCCTTTACTGAGCATTCCTCTTCGTTTGTTTTGAATGGCACGCCTTAGTTTTGTTAAAGTCTAAAAATATCGTGCCGCATTAATGATTTCACCTCTGGGAAGAAATTCAGTAAGCAAAATGACTTTCCTATCCCAGAAGACAGCGCACATGATTTTTTGTGATGACATTGTCACTTTGAACTTTTGTTTTTTCGGAGAATGTGTCTCTACTCCATCGATTGTTGTTTCGATTCTGGTGTGAAATGACACACCCATGTTTCATCACCTGTCACAATTTGGTTTAAAACGTTTTCTCCTTCATCACTGTACCGCGTGAGAAATGTCAGGGCATACCAAGTCGCTTTGTTTTGTGAACATCAGTGAGCATTTTTGGAACCCATCGAGAACACAGTTTGCGATAATTCAAAAGGTCAGACACAATTTCGAACCAAACAGTACGTGAAATTTGTGGAAATGCCTCTGAAGGAGTTGTCATTGTGAAGCGTCTGTTTTCATGAATTGCTTCATCAACTTTCCTTACCAAATCATCGGTGACAACCGAAGGCCGACCACTCCGAGCCTCGGCGTGGACATTTGTTTGACCTGCATTAAACATTCTTACCCACTTTCTCACCATTCCATCACTTATCGCGTATTCACCGTAAACTTCTGTCACTTGATGATAAATTTCGGCTGGTTTAACATTCCTCGTGTTCAAAAATTTAATCATGGCACAAATCTCACAGTCAGCGGGAGAACTAATTGTCGTAAACATTTTGAATGTGCACAGCAAACTGAAAACACAACATAGAGCAACCAAAATGGTGACAATTGAAAGTCAGTGAACAAGAAAGACTAGTGGGCATGCACGGGACGCCTATCACAGCGCTGAGACGGCGCTAGAATGAAACGGTACTTAGTTTCCGAATACGCTACATATATACTTATATACAGAAGGTAGTCTAAAAGCCTAAATTGTATTAGAAAACTTGAAATGCAAGAGCTTAATTGTTCAATAGTTTCATCAAATATTTCTGACATTCAGTTATACCATGTACTGCAGTTCAAATTCTAAAATGAAGAACACTGAATCATCAATTTTTACATAGTTGTGGGTGCTGGAGGGGAGGTGCTAAGTAATTTAGCAGATGGGCTTGCAGTGCCTTCTTCTAGCAGTATTCACAAATATTTCTTAGTATCAGATTAAATATCAGATTTTCGAAACTTTAGTATATAAAATTTTATTTAAATATTCTTTTTGTTAAAATTTACCTTAATGATTATTGCATTATTATTATTATTATTATTTTTTTTTTTTTTGCTGTTTTTACATATACTTATTTTCTTTGTTTTGCAGGAATACCACATGTACAATTGCTAATGAATTCCAGTGCTTTGTATTGCAGGCACCTTCTCATGTTGAGGTCTGAGGCAGTTCTATTTATCTTTAACTGTGTTTTATGATTTGAAATTCAACTGTGATTTGTGTTAAAAATTTACAGCAGAAGCTTTAGGACTAATGGAATTCTGTTAGAAAATAAGAATGGTTTTATCAACAAGAATTAAGTAGAAATTCAAGGTTTTTAATCTATATCAAAATTTAGTAAAATTAATCTGTCTTGAATAAGGTTATAAAGAACTATCCAGATTTTAATAGTAGTCTAAAAATATTGAATTGCATATTTAAGTTGTTAGCAATTATCTAATTTTATTTTTACTTATCATGATACATCCATCTGTCTAATTTCTTTTAATGTAATCTAACGTGTAGGTAGATTTAGAATTTAATATGTGATGCTTTATTCAATGACTAGATCATCAAAATTAAGAACATCTAGTTTATTCAGCTTTTCTTAGTTCACAAAGTCATTTAGAAGTCTATGCAGATGAGCCCAATGTTAATACAGTAAAATTCCAGAAATCCGCAAAGCTTGGGACCAGATATTGTGCGGATTTTAGGATTTTGCAGATTTCAGGACAGAAAAGATAATGCATAAAATTCAGACTAAAAGTGCAAAATGAATAAGACGGATTAGATACATTTAATTAAATTATTATATACATTATTGCAATAATTTATTATATGCATTAAATTATTATTATATATATAAATTGATTATATTATTCATTGTATTATATGTACACAGCATCGAGGTTTGCCGATTTTGCCTCATGCAAAGATTTCCGGTTTTGGATTCCCGTGTTAGAATCACTGTTGCTGTAAAATTTCAACAGCTTTTCTTTATTTTCCATATATCATACACAACTGTGTTGCAATTCCATACCATTCTACTATAAATCAAGGAGTAGCACCTGCTTCCATCTTTTGTAGAATTTGCAGTTTTTGCATTATAGTCAATGCAACGTGCTTACGTTTTTCAAAGTTGCAAGCAGTAAAATCATGAGTGTGTTTCTTATCTGTTATTGTATTAAAAAGGGCTGAAATTTAAAATATTCTTAATTTATCCACAAAATATCCGGATAAAAAAAGGCAGCACTAAACGATCTTGTGAAATGAAATAACAAAGCTCAGAAAATACAACAACGTGAATCGTGAACTTGAACTAAGAGTGAATCGTCTGCTTTTTTACCTCGATGCAGATTAGAGGGGAAAAAACTTATTTATTTTATCTTATTTTTTAACTTTTTATATCAGTAATTTGGTATTTCTGTTTTGACTCATTATTATTCAGTAATTATGACGTCATTATTCTGTAAGTATTTTTTTCTTCGATATTTCGTACTCAATATTGTGGTTTCCGGAACCTATAAACTGAATGTTTATATTCTGAGAGGCAATGCGGATTTCAGGTCGGCGGATTTTCGGTATTTGACTGTAGTTTCAGTTCTTAGTTTAAGTGAAAAATTACACAAGCACATATAGCTGGTAGCATGTTGTTTAACAGTGTAATATTATTTTTGGAATTTAAGAGAGGAGATGAAAATATATTTTTCAGGTACAAATATTATGATTCATGCTTATTCAGATTACTAATATTTTGGAAGTTGCACTTCAGTTTGAAAACTGAAAAATAAAATTTTCATAATTTAATGAGAATCAGTCAAGTGTTATTCATTTTATCATCGTAAAATAAAATTTCATTATAATTTTATTGTTATTAAAGTTCATTGATTGCTAATTTTCATGCAAGTGGGAATTAGTAGGTGCATGATATTTTTTAGGTTGCAATGTATGATATATCTTTTAGATTATAAGCTGCGTATGTACATTGTGGACTTAACAATAAATAAGATATTTATAAGTGTGTATATATTATTTTAGAAAAAATTATATTTTAGGTCAGCCGGGAAGTTCTATGGGTTCTTGAAAAATACAAATGAAGCAGTACAAAAACATGTGAACATTTCAGTGAATCACATAAGCTCCATTTTGTTCTATGACTTTTTGCTGTCTCTCCAGCAATGGTTCTTAGGTTTATTTGTAGAGTTGCTACTTGACAGTCTTCAAAGAAGTGAATTCCAGGCTGTTCAGAGAATTTTGAAATGAACAATAAGAGATGAAAATCTGACAGTACAAAGCCTAGTGGATGAGGAAGATGATAAAAGGTGCCAGCCATACTCAGTAAGTCTTTGGCATTCATCGAAATTTACGGCTGAGCATTGTTATGACAGAAGACAACACTTGTTAATTAGGTAGTTCTGGGTACTTTATTTCCACTTGTGCTTTTGAAATTTTCATTTGGGAACATTATTTTTCTGAATTTGTTTTCTGATTTGGTGGCAGCAATTCATAGTATACTGTTCCTCTGTAGGCCCACCAGATGCAAAGCATTTTGTTGTTGGCATGTAGCCCCCTCCTCTCAGTGTTACTAGCTTATCCCATGACCATTTGGTTGTAACATTATTGTATAGTATCCACTCTTCATATCCAATAATGAGGCATTTAAAAAAAATCTTAATTTCTTTTTAGCAAACAATTCCATACTGTAACTTGAGTAAGCATATTCTGTTCAGTTAAAATATGAGGTACCCATACATCATAGCAGTTTACATACCCAGTCTTCTTCAAATGATCATTCACTGTACTTTTTTTTTAGCCTGTCTGATAGTTTCTGAACTATATAACATGGATTTTCAGTGAAAATGTTTTTTACTATGTCATTGTTTACAAAGGAGGATCATCGGAACAGGCATCATCTTCGAGGATGTAATTTCCACTCCCACATTTCTCAAACTGTATCACCAGAAAAAGCACTTCATCCACATAAAGCACAAATTTTATAACCTGTTTGACTAGCATTCCTTAATAAAAATTAAACATATTGTAATTTGAAAAACCAAACTTTACAGTTGACCTAGTAGTATTTTTGAAAATATAAATTATGGGGTACATTTTTGTGTTTAAATGTAAAAAAATGATGTATTGTTGAATTCTTGAAAATATTCATTCATTCTTATTGCACTTATTATTCCTTCCAAATAATTCCGAATTTCATTTTTTTAATCCAGTTTTCCCCTACTTATCATTTTGGTTTTGAAAAATTTGATAGTTCTTGTGTGATCCTTTCAAGCAGTTAAAATATATTCTTCTTATATATGAAACATGCATTTGAATTAATAGACATTATGAATCATGAGGTTTCACAGCATACAAACGCATATCTGATGTAATGATGGGTCTTGACTTGTAATAAAATTTTGATACTAGATTAATATATACATATATATGTATATATAATATCTTATGACACTTCTGGTACAATATCGTAACTCATTTGGACATACTGGTGTGTTTCGAATGCAAATAAATGTGAAAACTGAAATGTATTTATTAAGAAATAAGAAATTTGATATGATAAGTAGGAAATTTCGTTGTAGGTTTCTCCTGCATTATTCTATTCCTCTTCTACAATGAGTTCGTGTGTCGGCAGGACTGGCAATAGGCATTTTTTTCCACCCATTGCATCTTTTGTGGATCCTAGATTATGATTCTCCGTACTTCTCTAAAATCTAAAAATTCTGCTTCCTAATACCTTCCTTAAATTCTAAGAATTCTGCTATCCCTAAATTTATCTCCTGGTGTATTACACACTGGCTTAGTATTTTACTATGACAGTAGCACTCTGGTAGAACAAGAACATGGGCCTGGCATTTCAGAACCCTGAGGAAATATCATTTCATACAGTTGGACCAAGGGAGGATTGGTTGTAAGTCCCCCAAACTGGAAATATTGGTAGTTGTGAAGTAGCTGGTCCGTTATGCACTGAATTCTGTGTAATTCCTCTAGGGCCAGGAAGCCCACCGGTAAGATCATTCTCGATAATTAGTTAAACTGTCGGGTAAATTCTTTTTATGCCTCTTCATGAGATCGAGAACTGGGAATGGTGACTCCACGGACCCAGTCAGATTGGTAGGATTATAGTGAATCATTAAAAATCTGTCACTGGTAAGTCTGAGACTGGCAGCAGTAAACAGAAATTTTTTTTTATCACTTAGTGTGGCTTTTTGGGCCTGTCTCTCACCTTCTGCCTGATATATAGAGGTCAAAAGGAAATGGAACAAGATGTATAGTGCCGTAATCAGAGTAGTAGAACACGGTGCCTAATCTAACTGTCTCTAAATTTTGCTGCTTGTAATTTCTCCCTAAGTTCTTAAAATTTTGCCACTTGATGTGATTGCACTGGTTGCAATAGCTCTGGTGCCCTCCCTGTGTGAAAGTTATCATGTTTTAATTAAAGTAGAAAATATTTATTAAAAGTAAATCTATTAACATATTCATTATGTTCACATATTATGTAGATTAAAATTGTCAAAATTTGAAGAAATTTATTTTCTCATGCTTTTTACTGTGAACTTAATTGAAGTGAAAGTAAAATAATTTATACTGAAATAATGCACATTTTGTAGGTTGGCACTATCCTCTCTTCTGTTGGTAAGATTTTTTTTTTTTTTTTTTTTTTTTTTTTGTGTGTGGTGTGTGTGTGTGTGTGTGTGTGTGTGTGTGTGTGTGTGGGCTACTGTTTTACTTATTTCTGCTGCTGTTATTTGCTGATACATTGACATATATAAATTGCACTATGGTATTATTCTGTTAAATGCATTTTTCAAAGTAATTTTATAGATGGCATTTAAACAAAATTATGTTACAAAATAAACTGAATTAACTTTTTTTTTAGTTTAAAGCATTTGTATGAAAATTTTTTGAAGAAAAAATAAAACAAATTGGCATCATTTTATATATGTTATTAGTTTTTAATTATAAAATATGTTGAAAGTAATGCAAAATAAAAAGGTAAATATAAATTAGTAGTAAATCTTTAGTCATGGAGTTTTTAATGCAGTTTTTGATCAACAATTGCAGAATTATTGATGTGATTATTACCTATCAAGAGAAAATTACAGTTCAATTTACTCTCTTGATAATCCAATTTATACTATTATTTATTGTTTTAATTTTTTTTTAATTTTAAAAAGGAAATGAGTATTTTTTAGTATACATTTTAAAGTTTTTTTTTTTTTTTTTTTTTTGTGTGTGTATGTGTGTGTGTGTGTGTGTATAATTTTTACACTAAGTAATCTGTGTTTCCAATGGTATAATAGTGGTCTTATTAGTGAATTTGAAAATTTTATTTAAGAGCTTTTATTTTGTTATAATTTATTATCTGAAATTTATTGAAAACATACCCTTTTCTGTTTCTGCTTATGTCCAAGTTTTGTTACTTGTTTATTCAGTACTGTCAAAAAATTCACTTTTATTACAATATTAGATCTTTTGATAAATGGCTGTTTAAAGATATATTAGTATATTAAATATTACTTATTTTTAGCAAATTTAATATATCAGACATGATTTTACTATGTTTTACTTTTTAAAAGAGAAAAATATGAATTTTGTTTGATGTTATTAAAATTTTATATGCATTTTTCCCGTCCTCTAGCGCATGGATTTGTGAAAACACACTGGGAAGTATAAATCACTTTTGTTTGCACCTGGCAGGACTTAGTGTGAATTGTAATGAATGTTATATGCTTTCTATCATGTGAACAAGTTTGTTTGGATTTTATATATGTAGTGAGCAGGAAAAATTTTAAAACCAGTTTTCTTCATATTTTATAAAATGATTAAAATTTGTATTTTTCATATTTTTAATTGCCCTAAGTTTAAGTATAGCCTCTTTTTTTCCTTTATATATATATATGTGTGTGTATATTTATAAGATAGATAAAGTTAGATTTTTGTATAAGCAAAAGTATGCATAAGAGCAGACAAAAATAGGAATAAAATTGTTTTTACCTTCAAAAAAGGAATATATTCTTATCCGTACTGAAAATTATTAATTAACTATGGCAGAGCACTCAAGATTATCTGCTGTTGAGAAGGATTATTTTCGTCGCAGCTAGACTATATTTATGTAGCATGTGGGACGAAAGGTTCTTTAGAAATCTATGTAGTCAGCTCATTCAGCCACCGAGTTGAATCTGCCTTTCGCTACTTGTGTTTCTTATTTGATTTGTTCAGTGTGAGCTACTCCCTACTTTGGGTTTATTACTGTTAAGCTTGATTATTACTTTTCATAAACTACATAATGAACAACTCAGTTAATAGTAACTGTGTATAGGGAAAAAATATTTTTGTGTGAGAAATTAATGCTGAAATGAGAATAATATGCTTAGTTAATAAAACTAATAATATTTTACTTGATCTCCTCTTCATTATTAAAAAAAATACATTTGGAGGAATAATATTGGATGAGTTCTGACAGTTTCTTGAAGCCACATCTGCATATCATGATACACCATTTCAAATTTTGAATTTCTAATCACTTTTTGAAGTTTTTTTTCCTTCACCTTTAAATTTACAATTATAGAAAATTTCTTAATTTTAAGAATTTTTTTTTTTTTTTTTTTTTTTTTTTAACTGGTGTGGTTGTAGAAAGTAAAGTTTTTTCTTTTTGAAAAATTTTTGTTTGAAAAAATCTGTTTGTTGTTTTTTCTGTTTGAAAAATTCCTATTGATTTTGTTTTATTCTATATTATAATCTCAGTTTATCATAGTAAGAAATTTTTATTAAAATCATATATTGCAAGAATTTTTAACCCCACTCCTATAAACGCATTCTTTTGCATGATATTGAATCTTTCTGCATTTATTTCTTTCTTTAAGCTAATATTTTCCTTTCAGAAACGTCTCAGAAGGTTTGTGATTTAAAGATTTTCTTGCAATTTCATTCAAAATCATTTTACCAAATTTTTTTAATATTTTATAAATACCAGAACACTTCTGCATAGAAAAATAGCATAATGCACATGTTAAAAATGCTTTCTGTGTGGTTGAATATGTGGAAGTTAAAAAATGTTTTACAATATTGTAGTAAAAATAATATTTCAATAACTGTGAACTGTAAATATTTTACGAAAATATGAAAGTGGCCTTAATTTGTTGATGAATAAATATTTTTTAGCTGGTTAAAATAGTGAAGTTTCAGGTTATTAGATTTCAAGTTATAGCTATGTATGCAAAACCTCCCTTTTCGTGGTTTTAGCAGCAACTGCTGTAATAAAAAAATTAAATAAAAAAACTTGTACAGATATTTATGTGTTAGCACATCTCCTTAGCACAGTTTAATGAATTTTTGCAAAACAAAAAGAATGATGATTTATAATTGCAGAAAGCTATTACATACATGCATGTTACATTTTAATTAGGTATTTTTCTTGAAAATTAATTAAAAAATATACTCATAAGTAGTTATTATTATTATTTTGGCCTGGTGGGAATTTTGTGGTGATCACTTTAAGAGCAGATTCATACCATTTGTTCTTTTTAGCAATTTTACTACAAAACGTGTTCCTTCAGAAATCTTATCCCAGCTTCTTTCACTACTAACAAATCTCCTGAGTGCATGTTTTAAAATTGTCTTTCAAAAAAGTAAATAAATAATAACGTTTGTTTATAAATACTATTGGACCTTAGGTGCAAATAGCAGTGTTGCATGTTAAAATTAAGCTATGTGTAATTCCCAGAGTTTGGCATGTTTTGAAAATTTGGCGACTTCTTCAACAATAATACATAAATCTTGTGCTATTACGTAAGTATCTTTCTACAGTCAACAAAAAACACTCTATTAGTTTTTTTGCTTAAATTATCTTAACTAATCCAGATATTCTGAGACGTTCTAGAATGATGTGGAGTTAAGGAACAAATTTTAAAACGAAGATTTATTTTTCTCTTGTTTTTTATGTAATTATTTGGATTGAAATGTGGTGTTCTTTAGATTGTTTGTTTTAAATTTAATTACTGTTCTTTACATTTAATTATTAGATGAAACCTTTCTTTTCATGAAAATGCAATTGCAAATATTTTTAATGAATTTATTATTATGTATATTTTTGTGATGATATTTTTATATATAGTATTATTTTCACTCAGAATTTTTTTTATAAATTTATATAGCTGTTGATTCACAATTTAATTTCTTTAAAAAAATTTATTTTCAAGAAAATAATGGTAACTGCTAAATTTTATGATGTATATTATTTCCTTACTTCATTTTTCCTTTTCATATTTTGCTTTTAAAATTTGGTTAGCTACATCTTAAACAGTACTTACATATTAATTAATGCTTACAATTTTTAATTTGATTGTGAACGAATAATGCAAGATGTAAGTTATTGTATTGATTGAGTCTGAATCTATTTTAGGTTATATATTTTTGGGGACTTACTAAAAATATATTAATTGCAGTCCAAAAATGTTTAATTGTACTTCAATTTGTTGCTGTAAATATGCATAAGCTAGTATGCTTGCTAGTATTATGATTTTAATATGCAGTAGTAATTTTTTCCATTTGAAAATGCATTATATCTAACTGTGTGTAATGAGAATTTTTTCAAAATATTCACAATGCTTTTATGATATGTTCTCGTACCTGACGGATAAAAAAGTTGAAGGAAATTGTTGTAAATAGCTTATTTACCATAATATCTCTCTGCTTTAGTGACTGTTGATATTCTTATCATTATCATATTTAAAATAATGCAATAAAAGTCACTGTTAGTCTTTTTACTTAAATGATCTTAACTAATCCAATTTTTCTGAGGCGTTCTAGAATTATGTAAAGTTAAGGAACAAACTCTAAAATGAAAATTTATATTTTCTCTTGTTTTTATGTAATTATTTTATTTTGGAATGTGGTTTTTGTAAATTTAATTATTGTTTTTGGATTTACTTATTAGATGAAATGTTTGTCTTAATAAAAACACAATTGTAAATATTTTTTAATGAATGTATTAATATGTATATATTTGTGAATGTATTTTTATATGTAGTATTATTTTTAGTCCAATCCCCCCATTTTTCTTTCTTTTATTATTATTATTTTAAGTATTTTAAAATGATTCTGAATTTCAAACATTAATTTCTTAAAATTAAGCATTTTTTCTGAATATATTTTTGCTAATGAGACTTCTTATAATATAGCACAAAATGTCATATTTCAGAATCTAAACTGGTTTGCTTTATTTTAAAGATCTTATATTTTATATGATTGATATTTTCATATTTTATTGTTAAATTATTTTTATTTTATAAATTGTGTGCAAACACTTAGAATTTTTTATGCTTAAGTTTGTTGCTTTTATAATTATTTTACTTATATAGGAACCATTTGAAAACTTTATAGGAATAACTTGCTATTTTATAAGTTTACTAGATTTATGCAATAAAGGCTTTATTGATGATTACTTTTGAGACTTATGCTTTATGAAAGTCTAACAACTAGCCATATGTGGATATCTAGCCACAATATCTAGTAATATTCTATTTACGATATATCAACTAGCTATTATCAAAAATTATTTATTACATATATTTTTTAGATTTCTTATTTTAAAGCATTTTTGAAATCATAGTTTATACCCTTAAAATATTGATAATTGCTTACTTGATGCATGTTACAACTTCAGTTAACACCAAAGAGGGCAAAAGTAGTTTATATATTCATTTATTTATTTGTTACTATTTTTTTGAAGGTATGTTGGTTCTGTATAACTAGCACAAAGATAAAATGCCTCGTTCTTATTTAAGTTAACAGCATTAATTCTAGTCTCAAGTGTTGAATCAAAGATATACATTTAATGTAGATATACATTTAATACTTTTGATAGATATACATTTAATGTAGATTTTTCAGTTTTATATATTTTAATTTAGTTATAAGAATATAAGCATATAAACATAGAGTTATTGTTTATTATGTAATTGTAATTTATGCATTGTCAAAAATTATTTCACATTCCCATATATATCTGTATGCATATGTAAATGTTTCTGACCCCCCTTTTGTTTTTAAAAGTTTTTTTGCGGAATATCTAGTCAGTGTTGTTTATCTATATTGAACAAAATGTGTTTGTCAAGTGAAATTGTATTATATTGTTATGCTTTCAAATAAACTATATATTAACAAAATTGATATTTTCCAGTATGTTATACAAGGTTGATAATTCATATTTTATAAATTTCTTATATGTTGGATAAAATTTACATAAAAAAAGTAAATCAGCTTTATATTGCAGAAGAAGACAGTGAAAAATGCAGTTTCAAATATATTTTATTATGCAGGTAAGTTTACAAAAATGAGCATTTTTGAGCATTCATACAAGCTTTAAGATATATCTTGAAAACTGTATTATTTCTCAAAAATTAATTTATTACATTCAGATTTTCAAAATACTTTACACATGTATTTTTCAGAAACTAATCAGATACAGTCAACTGACATTATGATTATCTTCTAGGGATTGAGAAAAGAAGTTGATATTTCAAACAGTTGTTACAGAGTTACCAACTTTCTCGGAAAACTTCTAGTTTTTTTAATCATAGCTCCCATTTTTCAGTAAACCTATATATTTCCCATTTTTTAAAATTTATCTTAATTTGAATTATTTCTTTAAAATGCAATTCCGGAAGAACTGTTGATTTTTAACGCCTTATACAGGAGGAGACGTCAAAACACTTGTACATCCAACTACAGATAATTGCCAAGCTTAGTGCTATCCACAGTCTCTTTAATGCATGGCTTATTTATTTATTTGAACTTGTTGAATGAGTTGTTAGTCATTCTTTTGTTTGTCCTGTAAGAGTAGAATTTCTCTGTCTTTTTTTATTATTGTTACCAACCATGTTTGCAGTTTATAAGGAGCATTTAAAAAGTGGTAATACATAACAAAGTACAGGATAGAAAAAGCAACCACCTCTTGTTAACTTTCTAAACACTTTGTTTATTTTTTGGAGGGCATGAGGATTTCTTTAGAACAGAAGTTTGTAAACAAGGGCATTTCAGGAGTTTATCGAGAGCAAATTTTAAAATTGACCAGTTCAAAAAATTGTTTTAAAAGTAAATCATGTAAAGAAAATTTTGATGACAAATTATAATCAGAAACCTAAGGTGACATTATGATATCTTACTGAAACTTAATAATAAAACATAACTTAATATTTAATCCATTTTCTAAATTTTAATTTGTCTTGCATCAGATTCATGTCATAATTAGTTTAATCATTTGAATTATACCTTTTAAATAAAAAAAAAAATGTTGAATTTACCATCATAACAAAAAGATGTAAAATTTTTTCTCTTCTCTCATAGTTGTCAATTTAAAAAATTCGTTTCCAATCACACCTCTACACAATGCAAAATCTTCCTGATTTTTCAAATTTCAAAGTTGGCAGCTCTATTATTGTATGGAATGTTACTGGAAAGCTGACAAAAATATTTATGTGCATTATGCTATAAAAATTTTAAGTATTAGAGAATTAAGTTATTATTGAATTTATAGTTATAGATACATTTTAAACAAGTAATCAAATAATTAAAATTTTGACAACTAAAAAATTCATACTTAGAAATTTCTGTAAAAAAGTTAAAATTAACATAAGCATAAATTAGTCTCTTTTGATAAATTCATTCAGGCTAAGATATTTTACATTCTGAATGCTTTATGTGATTTTTCGGTGTTAATATATTTTTTGTTTTCTTTCTATGGAGGATGTTTTTCAATTCTCCAGTTCCTTTCATTGCATCTTTGAATGATGTAGACTGTTGTGTTTCCTCCTATCTTTATTACAAGGGTCACTAGGTACAGATTTGTTGAGAATTTTAATAAATTTGCATTTAGTATTTTGTTATTTGCTACATAGTCTTCAATTGTGAAAATAACATGTTTTGCTTTTTTTTTGAAAAATAAAGTTTTACATTATTCTGTATCAGATAAAAAGAGAACTTGCTATGATCGTGTTAGAAAATTCTTAGTCAGATTTTTCATTAATAAATCCTGCGAATGTAACCCATTTTTAAGTGTCAAACTTTATCCAAAAAAGCTTTGATAGAATGGGAAATGGTTAGTATTTCTATATCATAAAGTTCTTTATTTTCTGATAAAGTCAACCATTCTTTTCTTATTATGCTTTATAAATGTATGGATTATTCCCTGATTTATGTAGAAATTGACTTAATTCACAGCATGAGAGCACGAAGTAATATTTAAATGGTTTATTTAATAGAAAGAAATAAAAGTAAATAAGAAAAAGTAAATAAAGATGAAGTTAACGGTATGCAGGATTAACATAATGATGTAGTCCTTTTTACACAAATATTTAAATAGTATGATCATCTAGAGTCATCACAGCTAAAGGCATAACATCAAAAGCACAATCTAAATTCATAAACTCTTGAAGATGCGTGAGCCGTCTGCTCACGTCTGCCTTCCGCTCTCGACCAGGTGTCAGCGCTGTCTGGGATGATTCTCACTGTGCTGGGTGATGCTATACTGATGACGTCATAATGGGCAATTCTAATTCAGCATTGGATGTTATGATTTCCCACATTTATATGTTGTAAAACAGAAAATTTATGGGGATGGTGAGTTTGATTTTTCACCTGAAGGATCTAAGAAAGGCCTCAATGGAAGATTAAGAGAAATTGTTGTGATTTTGTATTTCAGTTAAAGGCAACTGGAATTGATGCATTCTTTCAGTTTTAAGACACACTTTAAAAATATATTATATATATATATATTAAAATTATAAGAATTGGTAATAATTTGAAATAATAAAAATATGTAAATAAAGATAATTGTAGGTTTCTAAGTGCAGAAGAGTTTGCAAGATTTGGTTCTCTTTAGCAACATACCCATAGCTGTTAATAGTGATTTAATTGTTCTGGATATAGTTAAGTTTTGGGGTAAATTTTCAAGTAAGATTAAATAAAATAACAAAGGGTTCAAGTCTTCAGTTTCTTCATAATTTTTTTACTACAAGTATAAATAATTTAGTCTAGCTTGTCATTTTTCAAGTAAATTATTTTAATTTTCTTTGTTCTAAAATTTAGAGACTTATATGACA